CTATACGATCAATCGATGTTACGCACATCCACACTTTAGTGAAAACATCTACTGGACTATATCCTTAATCATTGATAAGTGAAGAGTAAACAATTTCATGTTGGGCAATTTCGAGTGTTGACTGGATCGATCGGAGAATGATCAAACGATGTTTACTGTAGTTTTGACAACAGTAAATTGACCTGCTTTATTATGATCACTTCACTAAAGTTGACATGATTCCATGGGTGATTAGCATGAGTCACAAGTTGAATAACCTGTATGACAAGCATGATATCATTACCGTATTGCACTCAGTTGAAAATGAATCATTTTGGAGCTCTGTGTATTTCATTTTATTGAGGTGAATTGTATCCTCTCACGATTTCACTGGGATATGCTAATCTACTATGTTGATGTTAACAGTTTCTCTTTAGTTCTCGTCTAATTCATTCACAAGTTTTGAAACCTGTGATTAAGTCGGATATATGATCAGGTTCTGAATAGTATGAAGGATGTAGACAAGTAGGTGAATACAAAGGGATTTGTTTCTGTTGACTGTCATCTGTTGATATTTGCATAGAAGGAATGACAGTAGGTGAAATCATCACTGTGGAGAAAAGTTGTTTCTTCCTCACATGTTTCTGAACAACTGCAATTGGTCAATCAGTTGACATACTAGACTATAGAAAGCCACTGCTAGACAGTGAGTCTGAGAAACGATGTAACATTTAACGCTCCTCACTGATTCATTATGTTTTTGTCTGTCAAGATTCATTCATACTGTACCGTGAGTTCAATAAACAAATAGCGAATGTGGTAAGCAAGGAGACTAGGTTGCACACAAACTGAGGCATTTTGGAACCCAGTGAGATAGAGACAACTATTAATCAAGCATTACTCTGATAAATATGCATGTGACTGATCTATCACATCTCCGTTTTCTTCCTGCTAATACATTCCTCCTCCTCCTCCTCCTCCTCCTTTCTATCACTTTCTACCACTTCTATACACTACAGATTATATAATACTTACTCAATGCTTGTCTCATTTCGATAGATGAATGGTGAAGAGAATGGTAAGAAAGCATGCTGCTTGAGTATTGTGTGTGATGGTTGATGCCACATTAGAAGTATTCAGATGGAGAAGTGAAGATTAAAGTAATTAAGTTGTAAAGTAGATGATTCGCAGCTTCACGGTCTAACGAATGATGCTGTCGTCTGTTGAGGATGACATAGACGATGCTATGGGTTTCCAGTGGATCAATGAGAAGAAGTTATTTCACCTTTTGATTAACTGCATCACATGTGTGTGAATATAGAATGTAAATATGAAGTAGAATTGTGCCTAGTTGGATATCGTCCTTTCACTCACCGATCCACAATGATAATCATCATCATCATCATCATCATCATCATGCCTGAATATTTGACGGTTCAGTGAAGTATGAGAAATTGGATGTGGAAGAGGGAAGCTGATTATTTATGTTCACTTCAAACATGTTAGTGTGTGAGTAATTTTGTTGGATTTGTGGAAGACAGATAGACTCCTCTTTATTTATTGACTGCCTGTTTTCTTTCTGCTACACAATTGCAAGTTATTCCATGTGAGCAGTACTTTGTGAATATGAGTATGTGATTGTTTTATCACAAGGTTCATAAACCAGGTTATCCCATTACACTCACAGGTGACTTCACAAATACCCCAACATATGAACTAGCAAAGTACTCAGCTTCGATATTATACCCTATTAGGAAGAGTTCAAATTCCACACGAGTAAACTCTTACGAGTTAAAACTTAGGCTTAATGACCCACACATAGAAGAGGATGCAAATGTGGTTAGCTTCGATGTAACTAGTCTGTATACTCTAAAATACCAATGAATATTTCAGTGGAGGCAGTCACAAGTCAACTAAATATTGACTCAGAACTTACTCACACACCTATGATATCGGCTGATGAGATTATAATGGGCATTCAGTTAGGCCTGACCTCCACAGTCTTCAAGTTTCAGGAGAAAATATACAGAAAAAGAGAAGGAGTAGGTATCAATGGGATTGCCATCATCCCCAATCGTATCAGATATATTTGTGGATAGTTGGGAATACATGACTTTACAAATGTTTAGTCCTACACGAAAAATATGGTGGCGATGTGTGGATGACACATTCACTACTGTGTTGCAATCGGAACATATCGACAATTTCCTCATGCATATAAACTCAGTAGTAGGTGCAATCGAATTCACTTACAAGGAGGTAGAAAATGAACACGGGGAGAATTTCCTATGTTGGATTGTAGAATAAAAGGAAGAAGAGAGGGTGGCTTGCATAATACTGTCTAGAGAAAACCAACACATTCCAACAGTTATCTGGACTTCAAATCATCCCATCGAATGTGAGTTAAGACAGGACTAGTCAAATGTCAAAGTGATACAGCTAAAAAAATTGATTAGTCAGTGCAAGGACCTAAACAAGGAATTGAAACACGTGAAAGAAGCACTATTATTATTATTATTAGTCCCTTGGGTTCCTAGTGGAACATAGGACTTCAGTAGCACGCCTCCAGTGACCTCTGTTCTCTGAGATCTTTTGAACCTGATCCCACGACAGCCCACAAGCTCTCATTTCCTGCTCGCACGACCTCCTCCATGTCACCCTCGGACGTCCAACTCGTCGCTTCCCATCTGGGTTCCACTCGAGGGCCTGACGCGTGATGTCCTCAGTCGGCCTTCTCAGTGCATACCCAATCCATCTCTACTTCTTCCTGCATATTTGTTGCGTGATAGATTCTTGGTTGGTTCGTTCCCAGAGCACCTTGTTGCTTATTCTTTCTGGCCATCTGATCTTCAGTAGCGAGCCAGTGTAAGCAGTTGTTGATGAATGTCTGTAGTTTATTGGAAATCCCTTTCGTGACGCGCCAAGTCTCTGAACCATATAGAAGCACTGACTTGATGTTGGTGTTGAAAATCCGTATCTTGTTCCACATGCTGAGTGCAGAAGATCTCCACATTGGTTTCAGGCTAATGAACGCCTGTCTTGCTTTTCCGATTCTGACTTTGACGTCCTCGTCCGTCCCGCCTGTAGTTGAAACAGTGCTTCCTAGATAAGTGAAGGAGGTTACTTCCTTTAAGTTTCTCCCGTTGATGGTACTGGAGTTTGTTGTTGTTGTTGATGGTGGTGGTGCGGTATCTTCATCACCTCTGTCTTCTCTATATTCACTTGAAGTCCCGTCTTCGCTGCCTCTTCTATCAACTTGTTAGTTTTTGCCTGCAGATCTTCAAGTTTATGTGACATTAGGCATAAGTCATCGGCGAAATCCAAGTCTTCTAGGTTCTTTTCCGTCGTCCAGTGTATCCCCCTCTTCTCGCTGCCTACTGTTTGCTGCATGATCCAGTCCACCACAATAAGGAATATCATGGGGGATAGTAGGCAACCTTGTTTCACTCCTGTCTTCACTTCAAAGGTATCACTGAGCTTCCCATTGTGGATTACTTGGCATGTAGCATCTTCATATAGTTGTTGAATGAGGTTGATAAAGGTTTGCGGTACTCCGTAGTATTGAAGCAGTTTCCAAATTACTTCTCGGTCGACGCTGTCAAAGGCCTTCTCAAAGTCGATGAAGTTGAGGTGGAGAGGTGATTGCCATTCTATGCTCTGTTCTATGATGATACGAAGCGTTGCAATTTGGTCTGCACATGATTTGTACTTCCTGAAGCCTGCCTGTTCCGGTCGCAGTTTTGAATCCAGTGCGTCTTTAAGCCTCTCCAGGATGATGCGGCTTAATATTTTACTTGGGGTGGACAGGAGAGTGATTCCGCGCCAGTTCTTGCAAGCACTGAGGTCTCCCTTCTTCGGCAGTTTGACAAGGTAACCCTTCTTCCAATCGTCAGGTACATTCTCTTCCTTCCACACCTTCTGCAATAGTGGTGTGAGCATGGCCGCTGTTGTCTCTGCATCTGTTTTCAGCGCTTCTGGCTGAAAGAAGCACTAATGTTGAATAATTATCCTCCTCAGTTTATCAAGGAATTCATACGGAAACACAAGAAACGAAAAAATAACAGTCACAAGAGTACGAATAACGATGACAACAAAATAATAAAGTTCATAGCCTCCATTGTATTACCCCATAAGGAGTGAACCTGAGAAACTTTATGTAGGGTCGTCAACAGAGCTGGTATTAGGATGGCACTGAAACCTACAAACTCACTCACAGATAAGCTTCGTCGACTGGCTTCAGGGTCCGATACAACCAATTAAGTAAGATAATATAACCTATCAAATTCCATGTAATGACTGTCAGTCAGGTCAAGTATATAGATGAAACAAGCCAGTTGGCGTCAATTAGAATAGCCGAACATTGGAATATAGCTGAATGTAGAATGACAGACCTAACTAACTAAATGAGATGAATAATCCAGAAGAGACAAAACCTCGGTCATCGCATTGCATGCATTAACATAAAACCAGCACACAATAGGATATGTAGGATAAATCCACTGTACTCAATTCCAATAGGAATAGGTGCGGAGAGAGATGGAGACTGATTACTAAATATTTGCTCATCGAACAAGCAACAGTTAACACGCGTAATGGGAGTGACGCAACCAGAGATACCAGAGATATGGAAGATTGCACTACAAATGAAAACAAATCATATGAGGTGATGTAAGCATAAAAATCATATATCGACATTAGTGTGTGATGATTATATTGATATGATGATGAGCAGTAGTAATTTATGCTCGAAACATTGTCATCAAGTGAATATTCCTGTATCACTCGCTGTGTGTCATAAACCAAATTAACAAATGTAATATGGAACTTGGAAACATTCCTCACAATTTTGAAACATGTATAGATTTACAGATGCTGCGATTACAATGATCTCTCTCAGTATATTTTTGCTGAGTATCTACGTGAAGTCACTGGTTACCACCTCTTCGGTTATCATATTACCCACAACAGTACCACATATACAACAACAACAACAACAGCATCAACAACTACTGCTTATAGACCAACAATGGAGATGTAGTATAATGGTGTATAGTGTTCAACTTTTTATTTGTAGTGAATCATCAAAAGTGAATTTAGGCGAAAATGGTGCTTCAATCAGGATATTTATCAAGAAGCTTTCATTAATATGCATAGAATCATGAGTGAATGAAATTGATTCAGTGGCATCAAGTTGTATCCACTTAAGTAGTTCAGTAATGTGACAATAAATATTTGTTAAATTCTCCATTCAAGCTATTTGGATTCCATCTCGCACACAAACATATAATTATCAGTTTTGAGGGTCAGTATAATTTGATGGGGAAATTCAGGTGAACCTCGTTTCTCCTGCACACGTTTTGTGTATCATTTAGCTTCATGAAACACTGAGTTATCGATAAGCACAGCCCAACTTCCTCAATCCATAATAGATAAGCCAAGAATAAAGCCGTAGTAAATGTTGCATCGAAACGGCCAAATCTCAGGACCTTGATGGTCATAAAGATGACCTGAAAATTGAAGAAGAAAGTCTCATTGTCAACAGTAGAAAAAGTTTAATAAGTCAGAATGGAGTTCCCTGGATGCTTCACTACACTGAATATAGTAAACGAGACTTCTTCAATCCCCAGTCGATAGAGACTGGATACTCTACATGAATTCAACATTTATCACACTCCTAGGCAAAATATGTGTGAGTGACAAGGGAATTTTCGACGTCATACTGAACATGAGGATATATTCTGTTCATGAGGAGTACATATTGGTGATGTGATTTTAATGTCATGTTATTTTCAGGTCTATCGAAAGGTTGGAATGACTAGGGAGAAAACGTGTGAGCTTGTGAAATAAAAATATCATATATAGAGTTGTTGTACTGTATAACCTCAGGTAGCCCATGGAAAACATGGAGTATTCCTCCTTCTCATAGAAGTGACTAAATCAAGAGGTGATTTTCATGTCTGTATTCCCTCCATTCTCACCTGTAAACTGCTGTTCGAACTGAGGAAACAAAGAGACATCTTAGTGGAAGTTAAACCAACATTCACCTTAGAGTTACTTCCCTGTTAACTCTTACCGTGAATAAGTAGGATGTGCAAATTGTTTTCAATGCAATAAGCACCATCATGTCACACGGTTGAGTTTGTTCACATGGTGTATGTGAAATGTGAAATGAGATACCATTTGCATTTTCCCACCTACCTCTCCCATTTTAGATGATCATGATGATGATGATGATATCTAGAAGGAGTCAAGGAGTTTGTTAAACATCATCGCCTTAAAATACACATGAGTTTTATTCACGTGCCAGCAAAATAACTGCTGGAAGTGACAGACTGAATCATACAGAATGTCTCATTTTGAACATAGAGGTGTTTGAATGACGTAGTTTGTGCTGCGCCATAACTACGTCATAGTCATTGTCATTCAATTTGGCATATTCTCTTACAGGTCGTGAATTATTCGCAATGAACGGCGAACAAGAACACATGATCACAATATTATGCTGAAGTGATTCAGTGTACGGGATACTGCAGCAACAGATTATCCAAGTCACATTGTCACTGATTGTGTCAGTAAAAGTCAAATGAAAATCGATAAACGAAATAACAGGTATACGCAGCACAGTACACTTGCATGGAACGAAATGGTGTCCGTGTTTAAATGATTACCTGGATAAACACCTCAACAAAGCATTCGAATTTTATGTAACTTACTATCGCTAATGCAATGCTCATCGACACGCCAGATGCAATCGTGAGTTGTTCCTGAAGAAAGAAAGTAAACGTTGACATTAAGTAGTTTTCCATGACTAAAGTCCCCAATTTGAAGTCGTACACAAAAGTCTATTACCACTCACTTCTCAACAATCCAATGTTGTCTTAAGCTGATCTTATTGAACGAACCATTGTTGAACGCACAGACAGACAAAATGCAGTGTGACCTTATAGGTGACTTGCATCGAACTATGGATCAAGCTTCAGTAGGAATACCATCTGAATTACTAGACTATTTTAGACTATGTGAGAATATCTAGCGTGACATCACAGAGAAGATAATCTGATATGGAAATCGGTGTCAGGTGTGACGTGATCTCTGCAGTGTCTAGTAACACAGTGAAATGAAGTGCTTAGGAAGATTCAACTACCTACGCATTAATTTGTATTCTAAAACGCTTTAGATATATGCATGTCAGTGAAAATAACCTTTACTGAAATGTCGGTGAAAAATGGATGAACTTACGAGGAAGCAGAATAAACAGGCAGTGACCACACCGACAAGAAGCAGCCCACCTGAAATCGAAGTGAATATTACTCGTCCCTTTTTCTTCAAATTCCCCGATGTGAAACCAGTAATCACTGCTATTATGAATATCGCAGCTGTTAAACTCAGCACAATAACTGGTTTCCATCCATTTAAAATGGATAATATAGTGGTTACACTGACAGACAGTGAAATAACCTAGAAGTCAGTACAGATAACAGTGAATGTAGTTCACCAAAGATAAGTTATGCATTGAAGTTGGATTACAAATAACTGGTGAATTGGAGTGGTATGAATGATTTTAGTGTTGTGTAGTGAGAGGAAGTGGATGTCTATCGAGAATATGTGTGAACATTTGTGAAATGGGTCATTACAGTTGTTCTGTTGAATCACATGAGTGTATGCCCTACCACGACTTTCATAATCACCAATACGCAATTGCAAATATCCAACTTTTCCACATGTTCGTTAAACGAGTAATATTTTAAAGAATGAAATCTCCTGTATTCTGTCATCATATGTTGTCTGTTACGAGTGAGTGAGTGATTGAGTGAGTGAGTAGTGACCCGTAACAATCGGCATGTGTGCTTTCTATCAGAACTATCATGTTCTCATTGCTAACCGAAGACTCTTCTTTTATGATACTGGAAATACACACTCTTGAAAGGAGTATGAAACCTGGTTTGTTCAATACCCGAAATCAGAGTACACCTTCCCTTCTTTTACCAGTACTCACAACTGGACGCATGGTTTGACATTTTGCAACAATCTCATCTGGTTCACTCTTCATTAACTGCTTGTAGAGCGTCCATGTCTGCACTGTCTCTCCTCTTACCCTATATATCCGTGATCCTTTTTCAATCACATTCATGTCTCAAATGTAAACAGAAGCTGATTTCCAAAGCTGAAAATTCGTGTATATGTACTTATATGATATTTAATGAGAGTCATCCGTTCGGAAGATTTAACTGAAATAATGGGAGGTTGATGGGCGCTGGCTAGCAGTGGAATCCAGGATGCGCAATATCGAGGCATCTGCACATCAGCCGATATGCCAACAGAGACTGATCAATTCGGTCCAGTCAACGACGGTGTAATACAAGCAATAACACTAATCGGAGGTTGAAATAATAATGGTGGTTATTTTTTAAATCGTAAACTACATGAACCTTATAAAAGAATTAAAAAATCTTGTTTAACCCTTTTTGTTAACCATCATTCCACCTATACATCATCAACTAACAACATTATCATTATAACCACCATTATTATTATTATTATTATTATTATTATTATTATTATTATTATTATTATTTCAGCCATGATTTAATCCCAATACCAGTCAGTAGCTTCAATCTACAAACCGATATACACTTGACACCTGAAGCAAGACAACTGCTACATTACTTCACTTTGATTTCACCCAGTGAATTATGATGTGTTGACGAATCTTATCATCGCATTGATTGACAATGATGACTGAAAACGAATCTTCCCAATACCATGATTGTCTCGAACTATTCAGATAGCAGTTACAAGGTGAACTAGTGGTCAACTGGATGGAATATTCAATCGGCTACCTTAATCAACCATCCAGATTATTGCCAGCGTAAACAAATATCAGATGGGACACTGTCTCCTCATTGCTCAAAATAAACTGAAATTATTCATGATATATGTAAGTAATTTTATATCAAGCAGAAAATGTATAAGCTTACTGCTGATAATATGATGAACAGGTTTGCCGGAAACCTGTTCCGTATTTTCTCCACAAAAATCAACAAAGCAGTTAGAATGAGGGCGAATAGTCTGAAATCGAAATGGGAAATGTGGTTATCACCAGTCAAATTAACCTCAGTGTATGATGTGAGAGAGGGAAGAAGAAAGAATCTCGAAAGTCTGATGGTGAATATCGTGGTGTCAACTAACGTCATACATCACTCTTCTCTGAGTAAACTATTATTCACGTAATATCATGGTCGGTATCAACAGTGATACTGTGTACACAAGACACTCACGTATATCACATTCGATGTCAGGTTCACGAGTGATTCAGACTATTTTGTTTTCGATACTGAGATGTGATGCAGTTGATTAAGGCTCGAGTAAGAATATGCACCAAATGGACGAGTTGTATTCAATGGAGTAACGCGTTGATAAAATGCATCGACTAATATAACCAACCACCTTGTTTGGTGAATACTGTGGAATTATTACCACCACAAACACGTTTCTCGGATATTCAAAACGCCTATATTTTACATTTTCCTACGTTGAGAACTACTATCAGAGCACACGAGAACTGTGGTGCAGTTTTCCTGAGTAGTAGGTTGGCTGAACTGGCATGGTTCATAATAACGCTGTGCCACTCACTCACTCACTCACTCACTCACTCACTGACTCACTCACTCACTGACATGATGTCTACGCTAGATTTGATCGCGAAGGAACCAATCATGCCCTCATTACATGCACTCCTTCCCCATATTATTCAACACCAGCAATTACAAGGACTCAATACAACTTGTCAACTCAGATTATTAAGCAATCAACTTACGCACATGCCAGTATAACAATCCATCCACTTAGATCTAAAGTATTCTCACTGCGACAAGGCAAAATGAGATTGAGGAAGCAGTATTATGGAGGATTACCTCTTGGCACTCTTATCGTTGATGAAGACATCAGCGACCACCTTCCTTACATCGTCCATTGAAAGTGACTAAACGTCAACCGAAATTAAGGAAAATAACTTGCTCACCTGCATTGATAATGATCCACGATTGTACGAGTGTGTCGCTTTATCACGTTTGTCAGGCATCTTGTGTGTGTATGTTGCTTGTGCACCCCTGATGAATGACAGATGAGATATGCAGAAGTGGAATGGAAATTAGTGGATACTTCATTTTATAATAATACTCCTCGTCAGTAACAAAAAACAATAACCATACATGTAATCCTGATCACCTGTACTCCAATATTCAAATTCATTCGTCAACATATTCTGCACTGATTCGATGTCTTACAAATTTCACCAACGCAAATGTGTACCATTCACAGATTCGCACACATGAGTACGGTGGATTTTCCAACTGTGTCTACAAAGTGGTCAGAAAGTTATGACAGTCTTGTCAACTTATCAATCAGCCATATCAATCTGGCTTGAAAACTCAGTGGAGATTTACATATCTACCACGTGAACTACACTACAGGAATGAGGTTGAGGAATTCAAAATAAACGTCCACAAAAATTGTATACTAACAATTCTGATGTTGAATATAGGGAGTTGTGGTAAACTCGTACATACTACAAGTAAGTGTCACTTCTACAATGGATAGAGTTGTCATGAAGGATGATTGTCACAGTGAATGGATTGGTTTCCTCAATATACACACAGTTTATACTTGACTGCATCAATTACACACTTCAACAATGAAACTCCAGAAAAATCGGAAATCACGAACTCACACGAACTCACTCGTACTGTTTCACAAATCAATAAACATGTGTAGTCGAGAATTTTTATACACAGTGGAAAGGGTAGGCGTATATATGCAGAGTTATTCGATAAATGTCGATGGACTTTAACCACCAATCGACCAGACTTTTGTCAGTCAACAAAATAGTCAACCGATTTCATCAAATGTGGCATAGTCTGAATGAATGGGAATGTTATGCTTGATCACCATCACTGCCATACACCGAGATGTGATCAGTGAATCGCGACTGAACAAACTGTTGCAGATTCCACACATTCAAACAAACCTTTTTTATTCTAGCATCATTTCGCATTGAATTTCAGAGTTTACAAGACTATAACACACAGTGTCAGCTTCGTTGTCACGGAATCCGAAGATAAATGTTATCGAAGAAATACATGCGTATACTGTTTAAGTGTGAAATACTGGAGATACATGTCAGTGGAAAGTTGGCTTTTCTCTTTCACAGAATAAATTCGAAATCAGCTGAATGCAATCTGATATTCAACTGATCTCCTTGACTTCAACCTGCAAGTTTATTCTCTTCAGCCGATCGGTGGGACGTCAAAACTCCGATTTCCATCATGGTATAGTCATATTCAATTGGTTTGACAAAATTGTCTTGGCTGTCTACAATTCCTTTCAGATGATGTGAAATATCACACGTTTTTGTCAGATTCTCTTCAAATCCTGGCAGAAAGACATTCAAATGCTGAATGACAACACTGATTTCAGTGTGCAAGCGTCAGATAGTAAGGTAAATTGTTGTTTGAGATACTAACTATGCATGCTCATATATAATCATTCATGAGATAACATTGCAATATGTGAATGCGAATTTCAGTTTGTAATCAGTCAGTTAGAGGAAGGCGTGATTCACGCGATCCTGAGCATACCAGACTGTCTGAAAAAATGAATTTTCATCCATGAGTGATAGTTAGACTGGTCAACATTTATGCAACCATTCATTCATTCCTTCCCAGTGTTAACGTTCTATTCACAAGTACAACTTCATTGAATCACTCTCCATATTCCTCAAAGTCTCGTCTTGCTTTGCCAATCACCAATCACCATTAACGGGAGAAACCTGAAGGAAGTAGTCTCTTTCACCTACCCACCTACCTAGGCAGCATCATTTCAACTACAGGCAGCAGTGGCACAACGAGCATGTCAAAACCACGATCGGAAAGACAGCAAGACAGGCTTTCATTGACCTGAATGCTGCGTGGAGATCGGCTGCACTCAGCACAAGCAACAAGATCTCGATTTTCAACACCAATCCAGTCAAGTCAGTGCTTCTATGTTATGGTTCAGAAACTGGCGCGTCACGAAAATCACTTCCAATAAACTGCAGACATACATCACATCAACAGCTGACACATATGCTCACTCGATACTGAAGATGGAGATTAGATGACCGGAATAGTTAGAATAAGCAACAGGGAACTGAGGGAACGAACCAGTCAACCAAGAAGCTATCACACAACAAATATGCAGAGGAAGAAAGTGGAGATGGATTGGATTGGGCATACACTGAGAAGACCGATTGGGGACATTACGTGCTAGAATAGGTCAGGCTCTCGAGTGGAATCCAAGAGGAAACGACGAGTTTGGCGTCAGAGGTGAGGGTGACATAGAGGAGTTGATGTGAGCAAGAAATGAAAGTTTGTGGGCAGTCGTGGTGCTAGGGCCAAAAGAAGAGAGTGAAATGGAGACGTGCTACTGAAGCCTTACATTCCACTAGGAATCCAAGTGAAAAATAATATAATAATTATAAAACAACTACTTTATCACAAATTCCCACTTCCGATGAACAACTCATCTTAAACAACCCTGTGAAATTTCAAAGATAACGTAGTGTATGCATTCTTCTATCCTGCTGAACAATAGATAGTCGGTGATTATTGTTCCATCATCACCTGATTATCTTACATTTCTCTGATATATACTGATGCATGGCATCGTATCCTAATACATAACACTCTCAGTATTCATACACAAGTATGAATTACCATTATTTTTGTTGTTGATACCATCAAGTATGCACCAAGTGTGACCATTGTCAACTAGTCAACTAGTATAATCAGACTTTCATCACAAACTATTTGCCTGATGTTAACTATAAATGTGAACTTCTCAAATTTTTCTTGATCTCTTGGTGACTGAGTATGTGAACACTAAAATATGGATTACACATACCATTTCCTCAAACACTACACAGTGTCTACGTTGAGACGAAACAAGGTGGATAACAAAAGCAAGAAGATGTTAGTGTAACTTAATCTTGGAGTCTGTGGATATCACCATACAAATAGTGCATGAACTTCATTCAAATGAATGTTGAAATTGCATACTTGTATATATGAGATAACTGGCAATTGATTCATTATAAGACAGTGTACACACTTTGTACATTCACTGGTAGTGATACATGAATGAATTCATTCCATTGACGATTACATGTATAGTCGTTGAACAAACAGCTTTCTAAACCTTCCCTCTCCCTTTCACTTACTCATCATTAATAACATTCTGAATATTGCAATACTCTTCTTCATTGATATTTCTACTTCAAAATATATTGTCAGTAAGTTAAACGTCTATTTTTATATTTAGGCTTTCATTGAATTAATTCCCTATATTTGCAGTTACAATTAGTTTACGTCTTCATCGTAAATATCTCTTATCTTACCTGCACATTTTCAAAATCTCACAATGATTCTACTAGTTTCATTCACTCTCTTCTCTGTAACCTTTTCAACTTGACCCACAAACTCTCATTTCTCGCTCACACCATCTCCTCTATATCATCCTCACCTCGGACGCCCAACTCGCCATTTCCCATCTGGGTTCCACTCGAGGGCCTGAGCTGGCGTGTGATGTCCCCGAATGGTCTTCTCGGTGCATGCCCTCTCCAATCCATCTCTACTTCCTTCCAGTGCATACTTGTTGGGCGATCGGTTCTTGGTTGATTTGCTGCCACCCAGTGTTAGTTCCTTGTTGCTTATTCTCATTCTTATTATTCTGGCCATCTGAGCTTCAGTAACGAGCCAGCGAAGGCGGCAGTTGTTGATGCATGTCTGTAATTTGTTGGAGATGCCTTTCGTGACGCGCCAAGTCTCTGAACCATATAGAAACACTGACTTACTTGACATTAGTGTTAAAAATCGGGATGTTGTTCACGCTTTATACTGAGTGCAGTCGATCTCCACACAAGTTTCAGGTTAATGAATGCATGTCTTGCTGTGTTTCCGATCCTGGCTGGCTTTGACGTCCTCATCTGTGCCACTGCCGCCCGTAGTTGAAGCAGTGCTGCCTAGGTGGTGGGTGAAAGAGGCTACTTACTTCCTTCAGGTTTCTCCCGTTGATGTTGATTGGAGCTTGTTGTTGGTGGAATTGGTTGGGTATCATCATCACCTCTGTCTTCTCTACGTCCGCTTGAAGTCCTGTCCCTGCTGCCTGCTTCTTCTGTCAACTTGTTAGTTTTCGCCTGTAGATCTTCAAGTTTGTGCGACATTAGACACAAGTCATTGGTGAAATCCAAATCTTCTAGGATCTTTTCCGCAGTCCAGCCAGCGTATCTCCCCTCACATAACACACTGGTATTATCGAAAACAGACATTCTTCCCTTCAATCTTATTCTAGAGAGAATGCTGTGTAGCAGATATTTCATATTGTATTCAGCTATATGCATAGCACCTACCACATCAGTTAACATATGCTGAATGGCTCTGACAAAGGAAACAGTCTATCTCGTTCATGATGCCTTCGGATTTCTCGACTGATCTGTAATACAACATCCTGGCTTATATTTTGCCTTACCACTTGTTTTCATGCAGTTTGACGCAGGCGGATCAGTAGCAAATCAGAATGCTGAGAAAAGTGACAGTATGTAGTTACCTCAGTTTCTTCTCTCGAATATATTATTCAATCTGTAGACATTGTATATTTTCGAGACGTTTCTTTGTATCAAGATTGACTGAGAATATTCAACACACTTTCTTCGAGTCTTGTACAACTCAAGCTCTTCTTCCTCTTCCTTTGCTGCTAGAGTGCACTTGAACTAAACTGTTCACAGACATTTGTGGTTTAGCCTCTTGAGTACACGTGGTCCTGTTATTACTATTACTATCAACGGATACTCAAGCTGTTGTGTACATGAACTGGAAGCATTCTCTAGAGTTGTGGATCTCTAAAATCGATAATTACGCTAATGTACTTAAAGTACTTCGGGAATCATATTTAGGGAACTGAGTCAGAAACTAGTTCAAAATTTTTCATCTCTAAATTATTCTGCTCCTCTCACCTGCAGGAACCTTTATTTCTCAATGACGGTGAGTGCTGCCATTCTATGTACAACATATGCATCGATGCACTCAACTATATATTTTCTGTATTGGGCTATGGCTTCAGTTGTTAGGTAAGAGAGGCAACCAAGTAAATGTGGATCCTAACTGACTAGGTTTATTTGCCGATGACTCGGGTTACTCAATTCTTATTTAACCTAAATGTATCTGTTTACAAAGTGCATTCGGCAGCTCTATAAACCTCACCTACTCTACAGGTCATAATAACTGACAGGATGTTCAGTTGTGCATACATGACCATTTGATGATTATAAGACACACCTGGTTTTAACTCCGTTCTCCCTTGTTCGCATTTACCCTATTCGAAGTTGCATTCGTCTTCTTTATTGTGTTCAGTTTTATACTACTTTGTATTTGTAAGTAACATAGTTCATATTGTCTTATAATGTCACTTCATCTACAGACGTGAATGTTCATTCTCTTCAATCATATCTCCATCACAATATTAGAATTTTCAAAGTTCATGATGGTGTTGTAATTTCCTCTTCCGTTTTGTGATATTCTAGTATGCAAGAGAATTATTTTAACTTACGCCTTTACATCATCATCATCATCGTCATTACTTATGCACGTCTTTTAAACTCCAGTATTCAGAGAGAAATGGATTATTGAATATCCATGGAATGGAAGCTCGAAAAGCAGAAGTATCATATTCGTCTTTATATTGTCTTCAA